TCTCCACTCCCCCCCACCCCCTCCTTAATCGTTCCCCTTTCACTGTCATGAGATATCTTGCGGTTTCCTTTGTGAAACACATTTTGAAATATTTTCATTACAATGAACGAACAATGTTAATCAACTTAATCCAACGTTTTTATCATTTTTCCGAGTAACAATGAATTAAATTGAAATATTAAAGAATCTTTCGATTTAATCCAGTATTTGAAAATGATATTCGATGTTGAATACCCTCGTACAACCTTTTTAATCTCCACCGAGCTTCCCAATTTATTCACTCGATGATTTTAATAAGCGTACTCGTATTTTCTAGCGTGATACCGTGCCTTTCCTCTTGGAATTCAACGTAGATGGGTCGTTCCGAAAGTGAGAAGAAAGCCGTTCCATAAACGATCCTCCTTTGTGAAGAACGACACGGAGGGTTGAAGGAAATGGAAAGGATAAGACGAGGATGGTTTCTCTGAGGATGATAACCTTCGGAGATATCGTAAACTCCCTCGCTTAACGAGATAAAAAGAACCAAGGAGAATGCGCACAAGTGGAGGATGCAGTTATTTCCTTTTGCATCGTATCACACGATTTTTCAATAGGCAACAATGAATGACATTGTGTTGAATGGATATAAAAACACGTACGAATTGTCACCGTCGTAAATCGATTCCATCGTCGTCCTAATGGCTATAAAACGACATCAACCAACCAGTTATATAAGAAAGAAAGTAAGCAAAAAAATAAGAGAGGAAAAAAATAAAAGCCGGAGATATAAAGTTAAATCTCATAAAGAGAGATATTCCGTACGAATGGAAAAGAAGAAAGGAAAAATAGTTCGTATCGATCTACTTAAAAGATCTCAACTTTTCAAACATTCATGCTAACCAAATCTAATTTAAGCTCCCCCCCCCCGCTCACCCCCGCCCCATACATTTCGGTAGCTGCATGTCATACGTGAAAGACGAAGAAGAAGCGAGACAGGCGCGTGGTACGCTTTGTAGAATCTTGGTCTCATGGGGAAGAGGATGGGAGACGTAAATTGGAAATATGCTTGGAGTTATTTCTTTGAAAGATCCTCTTCTTCTTCTTCTATTTCTTTTTATTTTCCTTTCAAGAAAGAAAAGAGACAAATTTAAAGGACAGGACGATCTTTGTAAGAACGTAATTTGCTTGACGTTTCTTTTTTCGGTATCTCTAGTAATTCTTCTGGTTAATTTTGTGATCCCCTCAGGTTCATATATATATATAAACGAGACCAATTATATTATACCAATTCGAAAAAAAACTTCAAAGGAAATGGAAGACGTTGGTGGAAGATTATACGAAATTTAATTTCAATAATTTATCTGCTTTAATGGAAACCAAGATAAATGATTATGTCAATTTTTAATATACTTTATTTAAATCGATAAAAGTTTATGTATATCTCTCTCTCTCTTTCTATTATGAAAAATATATCGGCAAAAGAATGAAAGTTATCGTCGATAGGAGCTTCCCGTCGTTTCTGCTTTTCTCACATCCGTTTAGTTACCTACTCACATTGGATACTCACACGTTGCAAGAGGCGGTACCCGTGGCGTTGATGCCGGCAATCCCCTCAAAGCTTTTCGCACTGCTATCGTGGTGTCGACGCAAATGGATTTCTCGGGAGTTGATGAAAAGCTTCTGGAAAGTGATCGAGTTCCTACGCGATTTTACGATCCCGTGTGTCGGATTTCCAAGCTTAAAGGGAGCCCTTACCCTTTTCTCTCGAAAACGATCAGATAACAGATCCGATTCGTGGTTTTACAAACTTTCTCCAAACGGAAGGAGAGAAGCCCGAAAACTTTCAATCTCCTAACTGCCACAATTAGAGGTTTCGAATTCATTTTGATCGTTCCTAACAGTTCAATGGGTACATCTAACGAGAACTAAACAAATCTAAAGACAAATTTTCTCTCTAAGATATTCATCTATTTTACTATTACCAAATTTTTAGTAATTCAATTTTTCTAAAAGATTTCTTTCAATTACAGAAAAAAAAACAAAAAAAAAAAGAAAAAATAAATCAAACGTGTACGTATATACGTATATGTGATTAGAGGAAAATTTATATTCGCGAATTAATCTGAAAATCGAGAAACCTAGATTTCCATGAGTATAATATAGTATAGTAGTATATACCTACACATACATATCTACCTACTTACATACGTGTACGATCAGATTTCTTTCATGACTTCGGATCTTTTTCTTCGTTGGTTGGTTCGTGTTCTGTGGTAGTACGAAACTCCTTTCGAAACCGGAGAGTCTCGCGAGAGAGGAGTCTCTTCGATCGAGTAGGAAGGAAGAGAGTCGAGGGAGAAGAAGGTTCTGAGATAGTGACTACGAAATGGCCTGAGGTGATGCGACAGCCATACATGATTCGTAATAAATCCATTATTGAGTTTTGCATCGGTCGACAAAGTTCTTTATCGATTTATCTTCCTCGTATTCCTATGATAAAAACCAACTCTCTGTCAATCCACGTTCCCTTTCTCTCTCTCTCTCTTTCTCTCTATCTCTTTCTGTCTCTATTTCCTTCTATCATTTTGTAATCATAAGAGAGATGTAAATTTATTATAATAAACGATGCTTTAAGAGTTAATGGAATTTAATTAATAGATACTTCAAATTAGTTACTCACCACTTATCCACGAAGTTATTTGAAACGTTCAAGTCTATTAAGTACAGGTAGAAGTTTGATATAAGTTAGTATACACGTGTTTCCTTGACAGCATACCCAACTACCCTTTACGTTATATCGTTTGATAAAAAATACGAAAGTATATAGGTAAACGAAATGCGTATTCGCATATTGCAACGACACGCTCCGAGCGTCTTGGAGAGATTCTGCGGATATCTTTTCCTTCTCCTTTTCTAGAGAACTCGATGAAACTAGTCCGATATTAAACTTGGAGAAAATCCGGTATAAAGTGTATTTTCTGAAATTCAGCAGAAAGGATTACATTGCCGAAAGGGATTAAAACTATCTTCAGATTTCCGCCAAGTTTTCGTCTTACTGTTTCACTCTTTCTCTTTCTTTGTTTCCCTTCTTACTTTCTTTCTTTCTATCTATCTATATTTCTTTCTTTCTCTCGTTTCTCTCGACCTCCGCTCTTCATCGTCGAATAACAACTCTCAATCGTAAAGTTCTTGGTTATCCGAGACAAATAAACGGTAAAATATCAGCTGCGTGAAACTTGTGTTTATGACAAAGATTACAAAAACGAGGGGAGAAAGACTTTCTATCTTTATTTCTATAAAGTAGGAGAGAAAGAATTCAGTTCACTAAGAAAAGGAGAGATCCTTCGAGATCGTTGCCTCGGTCTCGTACCTCGTTGCTTGGTGGGCCGTGGAAAATGAAACATGTGTTTCTGTCTTAGTATCGATCGAAATTCCAAGCTCGAAGGTAAGCAGACTTGCCGCAAAGATCTTGGGGAATTCTCTTAATATCGAACATAGTTCAGCTTTCAATGTAAGATCTACTACAAGTAGAAGTAGAAGAAGAGAAAGAGGAAGAAGAAGAAGAAGAAGGAAGAAGAAGAAAAGAAGGAGAAAGAAGAAGAAGAAGAAGAAGAAGAAGAGCTTTTTCATATTAAACAAAATTGACTATACTTCATCATCTATCTACGAGAACTACATACGTTTATGCAAAAATACTCGAAAGAAGTTTTTTTTTTTTTTTTCTTCAAATCCAAAGGAATCGTTCTTTTTCTCTTTGTTTCCTTTTTCGTTCTTTACTTTCCTTCCATTTCTTTTTTTTTTTTTTTCTTCCCTCTTTATTTTCTTTTATAAAATCGTGAAAGTTTACCGAACAAATCCTTTCCCCGTTGGCGTAAGGAGAATAATATCGGGATAAAAAAGATTTATGAACTTGGAAACGATTGGCGCGCGTATCGTCCGCGAATATTGTTCAGATAAATGCAATTAACATAATTGCCCTATGAAGTAGGAAACCGATGTAACAATTATTCCGTTGAGAAATTATAGCTTCTCTAAAGGGAATAGCATTATTGGCCGGCATAGTTACACGATCATAACAATAATACGTTCTATTTCAACCTACGTATTTTGACGTTATTCCGACATATATACATACGTGTATGCATAGATATACATACATATGAAAATACTTATATGTATAACAAATATATATATATTATATTTGATACATACATACGCGTAAATGTAATAAAACAATTATCGATTCGATATTTACCACAGCTATAACACGTACGAGATAATATCATATCAATTAATTCCTATCTCTTTTGTCGAGGTAAAAGCTTTTAACGTATTTACCTTCTTTTGCTATATCGAGCGTTCTTAAATTAGAACTGGAAGGTACGATCTTGGTCTCTGAAATTGACTTAATAATAGGACGACCCAAAATCATCGAGTGTGAAGGAATGAACAGTGTGTGCTCGAGACAGAGGAGAAATTTCTACCCTCCTGGTTCCAGCATCATCACCCAACGAGCGATTTTCTCGACCACCCTGTATAATCACGACGACGCGTACTTTCGTACGATACGCACACAGAGACTAAGAGCGAAAGAGAGAGAAAGAAAGAGAGAGAGAGAGAGAGAGATAGAGAGAAAGAGAGGGTGGCACTAAGGGAGAAAACAAGGTGGGGGTGAGAGAGAGAGAGAGAGTCGCGAGAAAATCCTGAGCATGCGCTTGGCGGACACGAATAGTCGAGGGTTGCTTTTGGATTCAGTTTAACCCCAGCGCCAGCAGGGGTAAAACGCGTTGAAAATCCTCCATTTTACAAGCAACGTGTGTCGATTATCGGTCTCATTCCAACAAACGGTCGTAGAATTCTTCTCTAACGATCAAATAAATAATCTTCTCGGCGAAGATGTCGTAAACGCGATGAGGAATTAATTTTCGAAACAAAAAACCAAACAAAAAAAATACACGAAAAATTGAAAGAAGAACAAACATAAATAAATAAAGGAAGGAAGGAAGGAAGGAAGGAAGGAAGGAAGGAAGGAAGGAAAGAACAAAAAGGAGGGGAAAAGTGGGTAAATAGTTTTCGAGGAAGAAAAGAAAATGTACGAATGAGATTGAAGATCGTGGAAGCACGTGGATACTCGGCTACTTGCACGTTGCACTTTGTTGTCCGTATTCTTGGATAATACTGGCTGTTGATAAAAATAAAAAAAGGTTCAAGAAGAAATTACGTAGGAAGATGCTTGGCTAAACTATGCTGGAATAAGATAATACGACTCCTGATGGGTGTTAATACAGTCGAAGAAGAAAGAAAAAATAATAGTTGGACGCGTTATATCATTCTCTTTCTCTTAACATTTTTCCTTTCTCTCTCATTTTCTCTGACTGTCTGACTATCTAACTGACTGTGCCTGTGACTGTCTGCCGTGACTGTTACTGTCTCGTTGTCGTCTGACATTTTCTCCTTGAGTTTTGCGATTCTCCATGTGCGAGAGCTTTTTTCGAACGCCTTTGGGCTAAGCGCACCGTACCATCATCGTCGTCGTCATCATCATCATCATCATCGTCATACCTTCTGTTGTCTATCCGAGATACAAAGCGTGGCACGTTAAGGGGAAGAAAAAAAAAGGAAGAAGAGGAGAACACACAGAAAGAAAGAAGGAGAGAGAGAGAGAGAGAGAGAGATAGTGATAGTGAGAGCGAGTGAGTGAGAGAAGAAAGTTTCTCACTCTTTTTTTTACTCTTTGTCTGTGGTGTCTGTGCCAATTGCACAAGTGGTGGTGGTGGTGGTGGTRGTGGTGGTGGTGGTGGTGGTGGTCGTTGTAGTAGTGGTGGTGTTGGTAGTTGTGTCGGTGGGGTGCTCTAATAGTAGTAGGTGCTTGTGCTCTCGTGCCACGAAAACGCACGCTCTTTCCGTCTCCCTTTGGTTGGTTCCCTGTGGTGAACGCGACTAGGTGAGCGGCGTGGAAAAAATGCGGTGAACCACCGCACTAAAACCACTCCTCCTACTCCTCTTCTTCGAACCGTTTACTCTCTATCTATCTATCTATCTATTTATTTATCTATCTATCTATCTATCTGTGTATATCCATCTAACTTGCACCAACACCACCAAGGATTTCTCAACCAACTCGTCCAGTCGGGTGAGTAAAAAAACTATGATATTTATTTTACTTGTCTGATTATTATCAAACATTTAATATATCTTTGTATAAATATATTACGTAATTAAAAATTACGCTCCTGATATAACACGCGTGTTACCTACCATCCGAGATATCAATTAAAACTAAAGTTCTTCAAATGATAAATAAGCATCCAGTGGAAATTATATTATTACGTATTTACGAACCGAGGATTACATCCTCTTCTTCTTGGATTAATTCATAAAAATCGATTATAGTACGCAGTAATTCTCACGTTTTAAATGCTAATAATATTTCGATGTATTTTTTTTTCCAATTGACATAATCGCGATCGTAATGTAGAAAATATACCACAACCATTTTCTTATTCCGAACATTAAAGATTTATCCGCGCTTTTTCTTTCTTTTCTTTCTATTTAATTTTGTCATTTTCTTTCTTTTTTCTTTTTACTTTTCCCATCGTTAGTACGAATACCACGGAACATTGGACGACCATTGACGATTAATTATTCAAGAAGATTAGTGTAGCTCGTGAGAAAACGAGAACACGTTCGTCGATATCTCTCTCTCTCTCTCTCCCTCTCCCTCTCCCTCTCAACCTCTTCGTTTCTTTTCTTTTCTTTCCTTGTTCAATGTTTCACACGAACTCCTCATTTCTACGGATTCTTCCTAGTTTGATATTACTCTTGAGAGCAATGTACCCTCGAAGGTTAACGATCAATTCGACTGAAGAATGGAACGGAGAAAAGAAAAATTAGGGCGGGGGGCGTTGGGGGCAGGGGCAGGGGGAGGAGGGGCAAACGATTCGTTCATCTGTTCTATATTTCAACATTTAATATCACAATTATATATCGTTTCATTTTGATTAATTATATGGAAGATATGATTATTATTAAGAAAAGAATTAATAGAAAGTAAAATATAATGAAAACGAAAACGAAAAACGTAAACGAAAAGGAAAATAAAAGGTAGCAAATTCTTAAACTTTCTCGTTAAATAAAACGATCTCTCGATCGTTTGAATATCATAAAAGACATAATTTGGAGTAAATGAAGTAACAAGATTAACTCGAATAAAGTGTAGAAGGGATAAAGGACAACGGCGGTTGAAAATTATCGCGGCTCATTTTCTCTTAGCCGAGACAATCTCGAGTTCGGGAAGTAGTGTCGTCATTGTTTCCGATTTTAAAGGAACCTCGCGCATCGAGCTTCAGAACTTGAACGCGCAAAACCTTTCAAAAGATCTCTCTCCATTCTCCTTATTTCATTCTCGTTGAGCGATAATTTTATCATAGAAGTAAAACAGAGAGAAAAAGAGAGAAAATGAGAGAAAGAGAGAGAGAGAGAGAGAGAGAGAGAGGGAGAAAGAGAAAATTAGAGATAACGTTCGCTGTCTTTATTATACGTGTTTCTGTTACTTAGTAATATATATATATATAGACATATATTTAGTTATATAAAATAGTATATATTTAAAGTTATATAAAACCTTTCCCAGACGTGATCTGATTAGTTGGAAAAACGTGATATTCCTTGAAAAAGTATATCAATACGTTGTAGTATCAATTTATTTAATATTTGTATAAATATTTTATAAAGAGACGAGAAACTTCAAATAATAATGAAAAATCTGAAAGATAAATAATTAAAATGTATCCGGCAATAAAAGAAAGCAACCCCTAGGAGTCCTCGTGTTTCATTAAAAAAGACAATAGATCGAACGGATGTTCCTCCATCGGTTATTTAAGTAGTACGAGTCAATCGTTCATACACGATCAGACATCCTTCGATTACAATTTCCTATTCATTTCTTTTGTCTTGTCTCTCTCTTTCTCTCTCTCTCTCTCTCGAAAAGAAAGATATCTAAATACCTTCGATCAGATAAACGAAGATCACGTAAGATAAAAAAAAAGAAATGCAAAAACAATCCCTGTTTGAAGAAAATAACAAAACAATCCAATCGTTAAGTTCGAAGATTTCGAAACGGGACAAAATCATTTGTAATCATTCGTGGGTTAATGAAAGCTCGTTTAACCGAAACCAACACGCACATTGGGTTACCCTCTGCTTCCAAGTTAATCGCTGATAACGGGCGCGAACTAACTTTTTAAGCCGGTGATATCAAACCCTCCGTCCCGCGTTCCCACTCTTTTTTTCATTCTTTCCCGTCTGTCATCGACCTTCCGGCACACTACCCCGTTTCCGTCGAGAATCGGTTTCGTATCTACATCCGACCTCGTAAGCTCGATATGCCGAGATTGCACGGGTTCAACCCTACCTACCCTCTGCTTTATCCCTTACACATCCTCTACCTCCACCTCCACCTCCACCTCCACCTTCACCTCCACCTCCTACCCTCTTCCTCTTCTTCTTTTCCATCAACTACCCACGACATGCAGTAGTATACTGTATTCTACCGATACGAATGAAAATGCGCCCTAAACCTTCCCCCCCCCACCCACCCTTTCTCTTCTATACTCATGTGTTTCAGCATTTCCAACAGATAATGATTCTTTCGCTCTACTACCGTCGGCATTCTCCTCTTAACTTTTGTATCCGCGTTCTCGTCGATTATCGAACGATCGACTTTGCTTTCTCTCTTATTCCTTTTCTTCTTCTTTGTTTTTTTCCCTCTCACGTCAATATACGTACATGTGTATTGTATATATATATATATATATTCTTGAAGAGTTTCATTATTTCGAGGATCGGTATATCATTCGTCGAGAACAAATTAGTTGAATTGAAAATTTTATTAACCACGTATACTAACTCGTTCTAACGATGAACGTTATAATATGATCATTTTTTGTTTTGTTTTGTTTTATTTTCTTTTCTATTCGATAAATTTTGTTATGAAAATATTTTCAATGGGATAATATAAAACGATTAGTTATCATTTTACGAGATTCATTTTTACGGATTACCGATCAAACGTAACGCGTTAAAGAAAAAGAAAGAAAGAAAGAAAGAGAGTGGGAGAGAGAGAGAGAGAGAGAGAGAGAGAGAGAGAGAGAGAAAGAGAGAGAGATCATTGTTAAAGTCCCGATAGAAATGCAAATCCCATTGGTAAAAACACACGCTATGTAAATCTAGATGGGAGCTTGAAGGAAAATATACAGGAAAGAAAAAGCTTTGCAGCAATAACTCGGAGAATTTTACTTTCCGATCTCTTTTAATATTTCCCTCGATATCGTTTCTTCGGCTACGTCATATTTTATCTTTCCGTTTGGTTGAATCTCTTTCTTTTCTTATAAGAACCGTAGCAAACATTTCGCGAATATATATTCGATGATACTCCCCTTTTCATTCGACTCGATACACACACGTTTGTTCGTTATTTGACAATGAAAATAAAATAACAATAATAAAAAAGAAAAAAATGGTAAAAAGAAGAAAAGAAAAAAAAATCGGATATTGGCCGTTTTAATTATGCGATTAAAATTGATAATAAGTATCACTGACGGACGTCAGCCCAATTACTTCTACAGCACGGAAATTCATTGAACTAAATGGCATACTGAGATGCATTCGAGATGCACGACTATACCTGCTCAAAGGATGCTTTAATTAATATGACTACGATATCTAATTAAACATACGTATCAATCGACTTCGTCGAAGTAGAGATCATTAAAGATCTCGTTGCATTACTGTTAAGCAAGTTCTCCTTAAATGTGAATTATTTATTTTATCATTCTTACGAGTCGTTATTATTAATACAACAAAGAAATAAAATGAGTAAAAGGAGAAAGAAGAAGAAGAAGAAGAAATGAAAAAGAAAATTATTCAACGATCGGTTTCTTCTTTCAGTTAAATATTATTTTTCAACCCTTTTATTATCTTTTTAAAAGAGTTTCTTCGCATTGTTTTCTACAGTAACGTACTTTCTGGAGGTAATACACATACATATACACACATACATATACCTAAAAATATATGTATCTACAAGGAAGTAAGTAGTAAAAGTAGAACAGACGTTTCTCGATCTTCGGTCACTATAGCATAAAAAAGAAAAGTAATCCCATCTGGATTTGTCAGCTGTAGTAGAACACTTTGACCAACCATCCTGACTGCATCCTTCGTAGTTACATTACTATGGAAACCAAATAATGTTGCAAATACACTCAGCCCTTGACAACATAATACAAAAGTACGAAGAAAAGATATGCATAAACTAAGTAGAACAGTACGACGATACTCTATCTCCTTTGTACTGGCATCATCCAAAAGTATAATAATGAAGGGAGAATGCAAAAGCTCGACTTTCTCCTATTACGATTATAATCGTAAAATCTCCGACGTCGAAGGAAGATGAGCAATTCCATCCGACTAGCGATATCAGACTTGGAAAATATTAGAATTCCAAAGTAGATGCTAGACTTGATTGGTGGCTCTATGTAGAAGAACGTTCAAATGAAGTTCGAAAACTTTCAGGATTTAATTAAATCTTTTGTTAATAATACGAATAAAGTTCTACTTTTGAACAAAATTATTTTTCAACTTATATAATACTCACAATCAGATTAATTTCATGTTTCCTACCACCTTCTCTATATTCAACTTGTACTATTTGATTATTCCGGAAAGTATTATAATTTTTGTTTTTTGTTTGTAATGATAAACAAAAATATGTCTATTGCTAAAATGTAAAATGATTTTGAGGATTAGATTGAGTTATGATTTTAATTAACGATATTATTTTTCGAATCACCCAATATAATACGATCAAATAAAAGTATCTAGATTGTAATTATATCATATTAAATATAATTAAGATATTAATATATATAAATAATCAAAATAATGATTATATAGGAATCATATTAATTGTAAGATATTTTACGCGTGTATCAGTTTACTCTAAAGTTTCATTTTCATTTTCATTTTCTATGTATTTCTTTAAAAAATTTTACTTTGTACGATATGTAAAGAAGAAATTTGTCAATAATATTTTAGCAATATTCGTATCAATTTAATTATAATCAATTAAAGTAA